TTAATTTTATTTGTTAATCAAAGTCCCCTTAAACAAATAGTTTATAATATTTTTAAAAACAAAAGAAAATTAAAATCAACAGAATTTGGTATTATTAAATAATTTTATGAGAAATAATGTATATAGACAAAAACCCAATCGCTGGCACAAAAATAACTATCATCGCCACGTGAAAAGTTTGGTTGAAATTGATAACCGGTTGTTTCTTGTAAATGTCAATTATCAACGGCAAACTACACATAAAACAAATACTCCAATTAAAATCTATGTGAAGAGAAATAAAAATTTAAACAAGAAAAAAGGATCTTATAATTATGTTTTCGGGATGTTCATACAGGCGGAAAATAAATAAGGCTAGATTGGAGATGCTCAAAGAACAAATCTCGTGCAATAATAAAAACTCAATGAGTTAAGCAACGGATAATAGTAGTTGTATACAGATAATTAACTTACTACAATTTGAAATTACTTATGTTTTAAAGTAAACGAGTTTTGAAAAAGTCACTCAAATGGATATGGGTCAAAGGCTCAAAGCCATTAGAATGATTATTGTTGGTACTTGGTAGAGCGTTTCTCTTTTGCAAAACTAGCAATAGGTAAACTATTAATTCATGTTCATGATTTGACATTAGTTATGTTTCAAAGTAAGTACACAAATGTAATAACTATAATTACTTTAAATGTATTGATCGCGCATAGGTCAAACAAATGGCCTCTACGATGTAACATGTCTAAGATTGTCAGCTCTTCTATTTTACATAAGTCAGTCAATCACTCCCCAAAAACTGGAAAAAAAAAAAGATTTCAATTCAAATTTTTGGCTGAATGATCTATAATCTACATAGTGTTTGTTGGAGGGTGGGCTGTCAAACAAATAAAAAGCTGAGCAAAATTCACAAAAAAAAGGGAGAAACATGAAGATCTTTTTGCTTTAAAATTTTCTTGATTTTCTCTTCCATATCTTCTAATAATCGACATTAAGATTTTCTGCTTTTCTCTTTTTGAGTTTTTGGACCGTTTTTGGATTGAATTCTTAACCATTTACAGATACGCTTACATATATCCCAAAAATAAAAAAGAAAAGAGAAGGACATGTGAATTTTTGCGTTTTGTGTACGTTCTCGACAAGTCCCTATCTAATGATATGAGAGATAGAGAGAGCGATATGCTCTTAGTAGCTAACAAATGTTATTAGTTCACGTGGACATAGCCACAACTCAAAGTCTTGAAATCTGATTGGGTCCTACGAATTTCGCAATGCATTATCCAAAATAATTTCACAAACCTATACATGATTCTTTTAAAGGCACGAATGTGAAGTGTATGTATGCGTTTGCTTTTTTTTTCTCCTTTTAAAAACGCTTTTTATATTCGTGTCCACAAATATTAATCTCCCGACTTCTTGTGGGGATCCTCGTTGGTTTCATTAATCTGTGTTTATTCATTATAATATATGATACGTATATATATATATATATATATATATTAAAACGATGATTAACGTCATTAAACCATGCACACGTTTTAAATTGATGAAAAACTTAAGTTAGGAGACCAATAGAGATGCTACGATTTGGTTGTGTCGCCATGCTGCACTACGACACGGGGCCCGGGCTACCTGAAAATTAAAACTATTCAATGTTTGAAAATATCTTTCAATACGATTTGAAAAGGTTTCAACTTCAGTTTTAAATAATTTTAACAACTGATAAAGGTACAGGTTGATTAAATATTTGGATACCAAACATTCACTTCTCCTAGCTAAATATATAAACAATGCGTCGTTAATAGAAAAATTGATTAACTTTACGAAATTAAATACCTAGACAAAATTTAGACCTATTTCGAACCAATTTGGTCTTGGCCTGAGAAATGTACAGATCTTGATTTTGTCCGTAACTATTCCCCCGAACCTCTATATTGAATAAGCAAAAAAAGTAATGCCATGAACTAGTTTTAAGATAATAATTTAATTAATCGGTCAAAGATAGTGACAACATAAAGAATCAAAAGGCATCACCACTATTACTAAAAGTCTAAAAGAAGACAAAAATACATATTTATTTCATTGTTTAATTTGTAAAGAAAAGGTTTAGAAGGGCAACTTGGTCTAATGAGAAGTGAGTATGGATGAGAAAGAAGACATAATGGGCATAAAACAAACACTTGTAAGTCCACAATCTTATATCACTCACCAATCCTTTTGCTCTTCTTAGCCACCAAGAAAATACCCAATTCTACTTTTCGTGATGTAATTTAATCTATTCTCTAGATTTCCACATTGTTGCGTTGCATCCTCTCTGGGTTGTAAGCAAATAAAGTCTGACCTAACTCTGAAACAACTCAAATAATGTATGGCGTCATGAATCATATAAGACCAAGTTGATTAGGGCTAGTGGATTAGATCGATTTAAAAGGGTGGGAATTGGACATGGCATGAATACGTTAGCTTTATTTATGGCTTTTGCGTTTATATAATCAAACGTGGATATATACTTTGGAGTGGCTAATTTTATGACAGAGTGACAGACCATATCTTCTAAATATATAGGACTGTTTATCGAGTCCTCTATATGCAGTGAAAATTGATTTTGTATTTCATTGTTAGTTGATTACATCGATTTTACCAGTTAGTCAATTACTAAAATCGCTTTTTCATCTTAGAAACATCACTAACTAAGGTAAAAAGTCGGTTTGTTAAATACATCAACATAATATCCAAAAAAAATATTTTGAATTTGAGAAATTTGATTTTTCTATATGGATTGGAGTATGTATCGCGATAGTTTGGTTTTAATGGTTTCTTAAGAAAAAATCGACGACTAATTAACATACTTTCATTCTATACCAACGTATAAATATAAAATAAAACGTGAATGGATAGACGCAGATCCCATGCAAACTACCTTTGAGGAAAAAGAAACGTGAAAAGGATCGCACGTATACATCAAATTCAAAAACCCACTAAAAATATAGCATAAAAATAAACAAAGTTAGTGTTTGAGTTAAGGCCTACACTGATTTACAATTTTAAACATATAACAAAGGAGTAGTCATAAAAAAGATAAACAAAATATTTAGGAGCTTCGGTGTGGACTTTTACGTGGCACTCACTACATTTTTAGTCTTATATATTTTTGATGTAACGAAAGATAACAACTACGGCAGTATTTTTTTTTTGTTAAAAGCAATGCATGCAGGTTGGAAGTTACAAATAATACTTAGATAAAATTAATCTCTCTGATATTATATAAGTTTTTATCAATCTTTTTTAATCTAGGAAAAAATGAATCCGAAAGAACAAAAAAGTTCGTGAATGGGTCGTCTAGCATTATTCTTTTTTGTTGTTGTTAGAGTCTAGCATTATTCTCTCTCTTTTTTTATAAAATAAATATAAAAAATTACGTCTAGCATTATTCTTTTTTTTGGTAAAAGTCTAGCATTATTCTTTCCATTGTAAAGTGGAAAAAGGGTAGAAAACAAATAAAAAAGAAGTAAATACCTTTATAGAAAGATGTGGTTCTACATATTTTCACATTAGGTATGGGGTTAAGAAATTAAAAATTTGGCCAAAATTATGTAATAAGTCATCATAGACTAAAAGTGATCCATCAATGTTTGCAAATTGCAACGAGCAACATTTTTAGCTTATCTCATTTATTTTCTGATAACTCAAAAGTTTGCTTATAAATTGAATTATGTCAGCTTGGTGTTTAAAATTAAGTAAAATCTTATTAAATAATTAACGAATAATACAGTTTTTAATTAAAGGAATTTTCAACCGAAAGCCATTTTCTGTGGGGCTAGAGAGAGGAGGGAATCAGAGGCGGAGACTCGGAGAGCTTTTAGAATCTGTGACGTCGTCGTTGTACGGAACAGTAGTCCCTTCTCTCTCTCTCTCTAATTTCTTTTTTGTTGTCTGAGTCTCTGAGATCATAACTGATTTTAAGAAGAAAAAACGTGGGAAAACAAGAATGGACAGAGAGAAGTGATGTGTGTTGTGTTCCCATGATGAAGGCAATTTCGTGGTACAATCGTCGTCATACCTAAAATTCAGTCTGCCACTTCCTTTGGACATTTCATCGAATCTCACCTAACCTGATTAACCAACTGTCCACCACTACACAGCCTAATTGCTTCTCTAGATAATCTTTAACTACATTTATATCAAAGTTATGTAACTACCAATACTTGAGGTTTATTATACCTTTTATTACACATGCGGGAAAATTGCTTATGCAATTTAACATCAGAAAGAAACAGTTGATAAAACATTAAACTGTTTAATTTGTTTTCTTAATATGATTAGTATTAACTCAAATATTCACATATTCCATTAGATTAACAATATACCAACGTATTTGTCGGAGCTCCGTAGTCCAGATTTTAATTTAACTAGGAGAGCACCCGCGCAATGCGCGGATTTATGTTTCTAAAAGTTTTTTTTTTTTTTGTTTGGTTTAAATATCACTTTGTATATATAGGAGAAGTTAATTTTTGGAATAAGAGTTTGTTTCTTTTGAAATATCAGATTGTGCATTTTACATTTTGGTTTGATGATGGTAACATTAGTGGTATACTTTTGCTTCAATCAATAATTTCAATTTTCATAACTTTTATGGAGATGGTAATAAACAGTAATTTAAACATATATTAGATTAGCTTAACATGTAAAAGTTACTTGTTTAACATAAAAAAATCCCGTCCGTATAGAATGAGAGAAACAACATACAATGTTCAATTTGTTTTAGTAGTGTTCACTTACTGATGCTTGTTAATCTCACTCAATTAAGTTTCCATCTATTACGCAAGATAATGCTATATAACATGATTAACACAAGTAAATGGTTTGAATCATTCTTTGCCCTTCTGAAAATTTCTCAACTTGTTTTTATGTTCAGATAGACAATGTTGGGACAAATATAAGAATCCCAACTATACAGCTTTTTGTAAATTTGAAACTATTAACTGTTTTGTAAATAATATACAGCTTTCAAAAGTTATCTACAGCTTTTTTTGCTTCTTAGGTCTCTCCTGCTAATTGCAAGGAACCATCTCTCATTAGCTTGAGGCTCAAACTGTTGAATCTTCCCCACCACGACGCTTCTGACTGTCTTGTTGCTCGACAGCTTTGTGTTGGCAGCCTTCCTTCCCATTTTGTACCTTCACAAACCCAACACTCAATATGTTAGAAGCCACACAAGATACATCAAGGAGATTTAGAATCAGCAGCACCAGATTTGTGAGAAACGTAACAGAACAAACAAGCTGAAGACAATGATTTAACATTTAAAATGAGTTTCATTCTCTGATCTTAAGAAACATTTCTACCAAAATTACAGTTCCAGAGTTTACAGTCATAATTCTAAAACCGTGATATGAGTTTAGGAATTTGAATAGATAATAAGAGAATGAAACTATTAAATAGATCACAAACTATTAAACAGATCACAAAATCTAAACTTAGCGTAATGTTTTCTTCGTCTTCTTCCGTCAAATGTTTTTTGAGGGATTGACACAGAGCTTCAATAGAAAACATGACAAAAGCAGAGCAGATGATATAAATCGGAACAGATCTGAACGACGAAAAAATAAAAACTTACTTTCGCTTCTTTTTCCATTGCGAACAGATAAGACCCATTATAAGACAGATTAACCGGCAATGAACAAATACAAAACAGTAGTCGTTATAAAAATTGCTAGTTCCTGCCAAAGGTAGAGACATAACCTCCTCTTAAATCCTGATAAAGAAGATAAAACATGGCTTATAAGAATTCAGAAAGCTAATCGAGAAACTTACTTCCCGGATAGAATGGAGCCATGAAAATCGGAGCTCTAACACCGAGCATCTAATGTCTTTGGGATTCATGTGTGAGAAAGAGATAGATGAACAGCAACGTCAATCCAAAAGAGAAGTGAAAGCAAAGACGAATCAAGGAAGAATCATAGAAGGAGAGATAATTAGTTTTACAATCACGAACATACGATTGAAATAGCAGATAAAGATTGTGATGAGGATGACTTTGAGCGAGAAAAGAGATAGGCATTGTAGACAGCAAAAATCCATACTTTTAACAAACACGACAAAGACGGAGCGAGAGGAGAAAGAGATCAGGCAGATGGGTGTAGATTTTTATAGTGGGAGTGGTGAATTGAATAGCGAGGATTGTAGATTAAAGATCGGAAGAGAGAGAGCTCTCAAACGGCCGTAGCCGGAATGCAGGGGGTCGCGGCTGACATCGACTGAGGAAGGCGGAGGGTTGCTCTCGTATATTGAATGTATTAAGACGACGTCGTTTTGTTCGAACTAAAGCAGCGAAAAAAAACAATTTAAAACGACGTCGTTTTGGAGCCATTCGGGGGAAATGAAAAAAAATCCGGCTTACGTGGCACTCTATGGAGGTGCTGAGGTGTCATAAGCTGGAGAGTGTCACAAGCCCTTTCAATTATATAGATTTTTAACCGGAGGAAGTGATAAAAAAAACATTGTTATTTAACAAAAACAAAAACAAAATGCAGGAAAAAAAAGATTTGAAACTGTGATTACAAAGAGATCACAAAGAAAATATTCTTTTTTAGGAAGTGGCAACACATAAAGATTCCCAATTTAGAAATCCTCTGTTTTCTCGATCCCCTTGAACACATCTTCTTGATGATATTTGACTTCTCTCAACAGCCATCACTTCGATTTCTTGTTTTTCTTCATCTTCTTCCTCGTATTCTTGATTCTCTTCTTCGTTATCTCTCTCTATCTCGATCGTTTCTTCTTCTTCTTTTTTGGTCTCTGTCTCTATGTGGTCATCAGAATCAATCAAGATAGCGAGTCGGACGCAGCCATTACTTCGGTCCTGTAAGCATCGATTGCGGGGAGGAGGTGTCGTGGCCGTCATTACCAATCTTCCATCTTCACGGTGGGACTTGACTTGAATGGAATTAAAACCTCTCATACTTGTCAAAGGAGGTGGAAGTGAAGCGATGGCATTCCTCTTCCTATCTTCTCGTGATGATCTTGGTGTCGTCGACATTCTAGTTTCCATGGTTTGTAACTCGGACGAACCTGAGAGGAACTCAAGATCGTCAATGACATCAGAGCCCGTCTCGCTCCCTAGGCTTTCAGTGCACAATGCTAAGCTTTCATCGCTGAGAGTTCTACGAGAAGATGGAGGTTGAATGTATGGTAATAGCGTCTTCTTCTCTTTATCATTATCAGAGCTTGAGTTTGAGAGGGACTCGAGGATGCTCCAGCTTCCGGAGTTAGAGCCCGCGTTGGGATCTGATGAGGACAAGGATGCTGCATTAACGGTAGTAGTGGTGTCTGGTGGAGTGATGGGTGAGTCTATGAAATGGGATTTGAGAGGGACTGTGGTTAAGTGAGGATTGTTAGGAGAAGAGAGTCTGAGTCTTAGAGTTCTTGGCTCAAAGTGTTGAGACTCAAAATGAGATTGAAAACCTTGATATACAACAGTTGCCATTGGCTTTGAGTTTGGAAGAAGATTCTTGTAGGAGATTTTGTTGTTTTGTGGGAACAAGGAAGCAGAGAGAGAGACAAGTAGGAGAGAAGATGAGAGAGGCTTTGGAAGTGAATTTGAGGGATAAGGAGAGGGAGAGGGTGTTAATTTGTAGTGCCTAAAAGTTACATTTTTTAAGAAAAAAATAAACAAATAATGGTTTAGTAATTACTAATTAGTATAGTGGGGGGAGAGAGAGAGAGAGAGAGGGTAAAGAGCTTTTTCCACACTACCACTTGAATAAAATGAAAAGTATTTATTTATGCCACATAATGTATATCGTGAGTAGTTCAACAAAAAAAACGTATATTGTGAGAATTTATACATTATAGCCTTATAGGTGAAGGATTATAATAGGGCCACTTGGACAGTTCCATATGTGTAATATACCTGGAAAACATTTTTGTCAAATATTTTGATAAAGAACAACTTTGTTTTCATTTAGTAAAAGGAAAACAATTGTAGAAATGAAGGAAGCTTGGTCAATCATAGTTTGTTTCACTTAAATAGCAAAAACTAAAGATATGATGGAGTCAGAGGCGAGGAAGTATCGATCCTCGTGCATGTGATGTGGCCAGAAAGAGGCGACCCACAAAAAGGAAAAAAAGAGAAAGAGAGTACTTTCCTAATGTAGTAAAATGAATCACAAAAATTTGGTTTGAGAGGAGTTTGAGGATTGTTTTTGTCCAAATATTAATATTAATCCCATTTAAAATCCAAGAAAATAACTAACACAAAAAACAAATCAAATCCAAATTGGCTAGATTTATATATTTATATAAAAAATTATATCGAACTACAAAAGAATCTATAAAAAAATGAAACGTAATACAAATTTTATAACCTGTTTATATTAAAGACAATTGTTGAGTATAAAAAATTTGGTATTAAAGACAAATGTTGATCATAATTTTTTTTTAAATCTTTTTTTTATAAGTAAAATTTGTTAATCTTAATAGAAATATGCTAACATAATTAACAAAAAAAAAAAGATTCGTGTGCCGATTGATTCTTACACACAACTTACCAACATTATAACAACAGCCCAACAATGTTGAAATCTCTTTCATCAACCACAAAATAAAATTAATAAAGTACTCCCTCTGTTTCAATATATAAGGGGTTTTAGACTTTTAGTTTTGTTTCAAAATATAAGGGGTTTTAGAGTTTTAGTGTAGAATTAAATGTGTTTTTATTACTTTAGATTATTTATATTCTCCATATATGTTATTCATTGGTTGAAATGTTTTGAAATTGATGATAAAATATATTTTATTTCAAAAAGTACAACAATTAAATGGCTTCTTAATTTGTGTGCAAAAACCTTAAACCCCCTATAATTTGAAACAGAGGGAGTATAAGATTATGGGCACGGGCACCACTGAAGGCGTTAACATTTAGAGAGGAATGTACGTGAACTGAAAATATGCATGCATCATCCACGAGAAAATAAGGAAAACAACCCTTTTTCGCGCACTTGTTATGACACTGAATAAAATAGAAAACGGTCCTAAATTACATCACTATATTAGCAATAAATAATGAGAAACTTTTGTTTTTCCATGATGAGAAATTTCAAAAAAATATAAATAAATAAATAAATGATGAAAAACAGAAGTTGATTAATTCAGTTTCGCTAGGTCTAGAATTTAGCTCGACGTTGTGTGACTTGTGTCCAATGACATATGTCTCAATATTGTTACCTGCTGATTTTGTTGAAATGTATAGTGTAAGTTACTTAACCATGTAAATTAAAGTCCCCAAGATCGAACCTGTCACTAATCGATTTGAGCGGTCATATTGACCCCAGGATTGGAAAGAGTGGTAAACTTCAATCTCTCCATGGGTTGTTGGGAACGGAATCTCCAAAGCAAAAATTACAATCAAAGATGTTCATAAATGATACCTTAAGTACTTCATGTACGTATTCGTTTGGGATATATATGATTTATCATTGTATATAAATTTGTCGTATTTCGTTTGATGGAGATGAACGATAAGAGAGGAAATCTTATTAACTTTCAAAATTCAAAATGATGTGATCATAATAAGATTCGTTACGATAGAAAACAAACGTAATTTTTCTATCTAAGGTCAGCTATTATAAATCGTGTGTTTTTATTTTTCTTACTTGGTCGTTTCTAAAGATCAGATTTGGAACACATGCAAAGCAATATTTTGGAACATATCTTAGATTGTTGTCCAAAAAAAAAAGGAACATATCATAGATCTTATCAAACAAACAAATAATCACATTTTAGATTTGTAAGTAATATAGGTCTAAAACTATATTCAATACTTTCCTCTTATGAAAGAAGATGAATAGCTTGTATTGTTTAACGTTTTAAATTTAAGGCCTTTGTCAAAAAAATATTACTATATATAGAAGAAAGCTACCTAGGTTTCTACTAGGGAATATTCTCTCTCAAATTCATCAGGACATTGTGGTTATTAATAGTAATCCAGGTTGGCTTAAGTTAACATCAAACTTTGTCCTTTTTCTCTTTGGCTAGCCAACACTAAGTTGCTTTTACCTTCTCCAACTCCAGCCCATGTTACGCCTATAAAATCGTACGGAGTAGCTTATGAAAACACAAAGTTTTAGACTCGTGAATCAGCAATTGATTCCCCACTTTCGCTTTTGCTCTCATGTCTTCACTGTTTTTCAGATGCTTACGCTGCGTAATGTACGAAAGAACCCTAATTAAAACCCTTTTCTTTCTGAAAAAGAAAGGGACAAAACAACGCTTGCATACAACTTTTACAAGTAAATTAATGCCCGAAAGTCAATAAATTAGTCACTAGCTAGCTTTTCCTTAACTCTAAGTCATGTGGATGATGATATAACAATACCTGCTCAACAGCAACTGTGTTTGCATTTATAATTTATTTTATATATGTTTTATTTTTGGTCGAAGATTTATTTTATATATGTTTGACAGACGCAACAAACTCATTTAGTGTAACTGTGTAATAATAGCACTTTTAAAATTGTAGAGATCGCAATTTATCTACGGAAACAAAAAATAGAAATAGAAAATACTGTATATTCTAGAAAACTATACTCAAAATTTTGTTTATAAAATCAATAAAAAACTCAACACTAGAACCAAAATTCCAAGTTTAAGTATGATATGAAATTTGAAAATCCAAAACTCCTCGGAAACGATCTCAAACATAATTTTAATTGAAATTAAAACTAGAAAAATTAAATTAAATAAATCATAAATTTTACGCTTTAGTATTTTTAAAAAAACTTGCAAAAATTGAGCTTTTTGTCTATTCGGGTTTGTAAACTCTGAATGTTGTTGCTAGTTCAAAACACTAAAATAAAATGCTTTATTTCTGTAAGGAAACATATATAGCAAGTTTAATATGTAAATTGGGTCCCACCCTCTTCTTTTACCGTATAACTTGCAAGAAAGAAAGGCTAGCTAGAAAGTGTCAGCCGTTCTTCATATTATGAAGACAGTGGGAGAGGTTTATGAGATTCTTGGTTTCCTGTAATGGAAAAGCTTTCCCAGTTTGTGTACTGTGCATGTGTGAATAAAAAAAGAGTATACAAATACAAATAGCTAGCTAGACACCATCGATCAACTATGAGCAGAATAATATGTTATGCTAGTTGTGTGTTGTCTAATCTATGATTGCTTTAATTAGCTAGCAGACCAAAACTTTTCGAGGTGTATAGCAGACATGAACACAAGTATATTTATAGTTTATAGTTTCTCACAAAATTTGATAAGACCATGCATAGGTGGTTTGGTACGAAGATACCTCATATATGTATAATATATGACAAGTAGATCTCAGTTTTTCTTTTCCTATGATGTTCTTTTTCAAAATGAGTGCTCAGCCTCAGCCTAGTACTAGTAACATTTTGCAATATGTTCATACTAGAAAATCCATCATTTTTTCTTGTTCTATAATCTCTCTTTTTTTGTTAGGATTTGGATTCCTATCCGACATTGATAAAATGAGAGAAAATAAAAATGTGCACAATCTATAATGGTTTATCATGAGAATTCTATGTCAAATTTTCGCAGCTACCAATTCCACTATAATCAAGGAATTTTCACAAACTTTTCATTTTCTTGCTCTCCTCTACTCTAATAAAAGAATCGACAAAAATTCAATGAAGAAAAACAAACTTTATGTGGCAAGCTAGCATAGTTCGAAAATACCCATTAATGGTTACTCTTCAACGAACATGATGATCAACGTGTGGCCCCCGTTTGTCAAGTAACACTGTAAAATCGAAAAATTACGCTCCACAACCCCCACACTCCTCTCATGAAGGAATCAAAAGTAAAATGATTTTAAAACAGAAAAAAAAAAAGTGAAATGGTTTATCATTTAGTGTGATACACTATTGGAATGATCAATGAATATATAATAGGAAATAATTAAAAATAGAGGATTCTATAACGTAAGCATGAGAGTAAAAAGTTATGACATAATTTAATCAAGAAAAGGTGGAAAAAGGAGCTGACCTGCATACGTAATCTGTCGACAAATATCGATCTACATATATTGAGTCCATGTGGTCCTAAATTTCGAACCAACGCATAGAAATGAAGTAGAAAGTAGCATAGCAACCTTTGGCCGCTCCAAACGAGCATGCTTTACTTTTTCATTTGTGTCCTATTACATAAAGATGCTTTTGTTATATTAATGAAGTTTTACAATTATTAAGTGAATACCGACAGGTGACACAAGCAAATTAAAGTATGAGAAATTTATAAACGAAAATAATTTGACTTGTCATGTCACACACGCCCATGATGCACACACACACAAAAAAAAAAGCCAGAGTGAAACTCGAATCGTTATCCATCAATATTAGTTATTTGTTTCAACTAATGGAGGATCTAAAGGCAAAGAATACGTCACACCACTTGAAATGTAGTGGAGACAGAAACTTAAGCCTTACGTTTTGATGTACCAAACTACCAATAGTGAGG